CTCGCTGATCAATGACTTCTTTCAAGATAACTCTGGTGGTGTTGCAAGTACATTTAAGGTGACATGTAAGATTTGCAGACACTGCACATTCCCTGAAGTTCAGAGAAGTGCTGACATGCTGCAAGAAGAAAACAAATTGCATAAGCTTCCTAGCTGAGGCAGGAAAGTTTTTGCTTGTTTCTTTCTGGTTTATTTGGGTCTGTATATACTGAAGTAAAGATGAGGGCATGTTCCAGTGAGTTCTTTTATCTCTGTTCTATTCTTATATCTCTGTTTCCTCCCCTGCTCCCATATGTTCCAAGAAGACTGAAGTATAGGCTGAGCACCCTGGGAACTATGGAGGGCAGGGTTTGTATTAGGTGGGTGTGGTTGGAGATTCAGAGCATGGTGTTCATTAAAAAGTGATATTGATGTCAAGAGATCAAAAAAAAAAAAAAAAAAGTTTCTGAGGCAGTATCTCTATGGAAGTAGATTGCCAGTCTTCCTTCCGAGGAGTGGCTGGTGCGTTTGAACTGCCTGCCTTTTGGTTAGCAGTCAAATACCTTAGGCACACTATGCCACCAGATATCAACAGATAGGTTTTCAAAATCTTTTATCAGTGCTGTCAGCATTGTTCTTTGTTTGATTGGACCAAAGTGATAAGGATTAGAGGATAAAGATGTCAGAAGATATTGTTGAGTGCCTTTGAGTTGGTTCTGACCCTGTGTACAATGGAATGAAACACTGCCTAGTCCTGGGTCATCCTCCTAGTCGTTGCTATGTTTGAGCTCATTGTTTCAGCCACTGTGCCAATCCATCTTATTGGAAAATGAACCATCTTCAGTGTTTCATGGGGCATTGTTTAGAGGTTCTGTGTAGAGAATGATACCATCAGCAGTGTTAACTGTGAGATGAGGAGAAGCTAAAAATCTTAAGGCTACTTGCATGTAGTCATAGATTTAGGGAAAGTGTAATTCTGGAGTTACATTGCCCTTCTGCTTCCCTAACTAACTGGCAAGAAGTTTGAGGCTAGTTTTTCAGGCCTTTTAGAATGAAAAGGAAAAGAAAATTAGTCTATTTTGACTCATGATGACACCATGTATGTCAAAGTAGAACTGTGCCTCATAGGGTTTTCAGTGTCTGTTTTTTGGAAGTAGATCTTCAGGCCTTTCTTCTAAGGTGCCTCTGGGTGGACTTGAACCTCCAACCTTATGGTTATTAGCTGAGCTCATTGACCCTTTGCACTACTCAAGCACTCCCTTTAGTATTTAATGATTATTTTATATTAAATCAGGAATCACCAATACAAATTTATGTATATCAGGATACCTTTATTATGCTGAGGAGAAGTTTGGGTATAGAGATGCTTAGATCTGTTGAAACTGAATGCTTAACGATTATATGCATTTGAAATTTATCACATTGAATAGAGAGCCTTAAGGTAAAAGAAAAAAGTCGGTGAAATGTTTCGTACAGAGAATGAATCTGAGTGTCAGGTTCTAATCTAGATATGTTTCCCATCATTTGGTTTAAGTTTAAATAGAGCTTGAGAACACAATTAAGTATTATGAAAGCATTGGGCCAAGCCCAGTGGATCAAGAGCATTTTTAAGTATTTTAGTTTGTGTCACCTGTTTGTCCACCTATTGTATCAAGAAGAGATGTATATGTGTAGTATCTGTAAATATGTGCATGGGGTTAGCAGGTAGAAGATTCATTCATGTAATAAATAAACCCATCTATTTTGATGGAGCACTTACTGTGTATCAGAGACTTTCCAGAGAGGTAGGGATATAGCCATGACCAAAACAAAGTCCTTGCTTTCATTGAGCATGTATTGCATAAGCTCAATTGGTGTTTAACAAATAGACAAATAATTATCTGATCTAATAGTGTTAAGTGCATGGAAGAAAAATGAAGCAGTGTTTGGGGAAAGAGAATGATTGGAAGTGCTGTTTCAATAAGGGACAGGGAAGAGGTGACATATGAACAGATGCTTGAATAAAGTAAGAGAGTCAGACTTGCAGATGTTTGGGGGAAGAATGTTCTAGGACAGAGCATGGTATATGAAAAGACCTGAGGTAGGAGCTGCTTTGCATGAGTCAAGGCCGTCTCTACCACTATGGTCTTTTACTTACCATTTAAGATCTTTGAGCCTTTAGTTCTTCTGTAAAGAGAAGGTAACATTTGACTTTCCCACCCACTGCGTTGGGGCTGAATACAACAATTTTTGAAGGCTGACAGGCCAGGCCAAGATGTTGTAACTATGAAGTGTACTAAATGATATACAGGTGCTTCAGATTAAGAGAGAAGGCTCTTCACATTCACATAGAGCTAGATAACAGGTATCCATACTAATTATAAGAGATTCAAAATGTTAGTAAATTAATTAATGAAAGACCCTCTGGGATGGTCTTCCTGTGACCTCCTTAAATAACTCATTAATATCTTACTATTTCAGATTTTTTCACTGTGAGGGCCATGAGCTCTGAGTGCCCTTGTTGTTCTAGCTGGGCTGTGAATCTGACCATCAAGTTAGTGTCTCGGAAAGAGCTGTCCTGGTGAATTCTTCATATTTTCTACAGCCCATCCACACACCACCCTGTTTAGTTTTCTGGTCTTCATTAAGCTCCTGAGTTTAGAGAAATTGTCTGGGTTCTGTTTTTGGCTGTTTTTCTCCCTTCTAGCCCTCTGTCTTGAATTGTCCTCAAATTATTGATACGTAAGTGTCATATGAAGAGATTATTAAAATTATAGATCACTGAACCCCACCTCCAGAGCTTTGGATTCCATAGGTTTGTAATGGCATTGAGTCATCTGTACTTTAAAACAGCTCTAAGTTGAGAAGCATTGTCTGAAAGCATCTTTAAAATGAAGAGATGGAATTTTCTCTAGACTCTGACTTTCTAGACATCCAGTCTGTTGTGCAGGTGATTTCCTTCATTTATCTCCTTCAGCTTTTTCTAACTTCTCACCACTTTATTCCACTCAAGTTCCCTCCTGGTCACCTCCCTTTTCTCTTTATGAATTCGATAGGAGTGAATTAAGGGATTATAAGGAGGTAAATGATTAGCTTCATAAGAGACACTTTTTGTAATTTTATCTTGGTATAATTGAGTCAGAATTGACTTGACAACACATAACAACAGCAACGACAACATAACCAGCTTTAGTGTGAAATCATCTAGAATTAAAATACTTCCTTACTTTTTGAGTCTATGGATAGCCATCATGGAGACATGGTTCACGTGGCATACAATGATGTTCACATCTAAGTCATTCTTCTCTCTGTGGTGTTGGGATTGGTTATCACTATGTCATATGCCTTTCCATCTCTTACACTGGGATAAGCCATAGACTTTTATTTGTCCTTTGTAGATACAGAAAATGAGTATTCTCTATATCTTTGTAGATATAGAAAAAAGCCTAGAAAATGAAAAGACCATGGCTTTCCTAATTCCAGAGTCTTAATTTGGTAGCGTATAGTACTTGAGATTATTGTCCTGGAGTCACTGTCCTTTCCTAGAAAGTGTATGAATTCTTCTGGCAATACATTTTTCCATTTTATCTCTCAGAAGTAACTCCAGGGCACTATTTTGTGTGTAGGTGTAGTTCTTGGTATTATAAACATGCCTTCCCTTAATGATTTTCCATTTGCCTCTAACACCTCATAAGAGGACCTTCTAGGCAGTTCTTTTATAAGAAGTCAGGCTTTATATTTGGTTGGAAGCAGGGTGGGAGAATTGTGTGGAGAGAGACATATACATGTATGTAAAACCTTGAGGGAATTGCCTTCTCTATATTGATTTCATTATATTTATCATAATTATGAGATCAGTGGTGGTTCAGTGGTAGAATTCTCTCCTCCCATGTGGGAAACCTGGGTTCAATTGCTGGCCAGTGCACCTCAAGCATAGCTGTCACTCATCTTTCAGTGAAGGCTTGCATGTTGCTGTGATGTTGAATAGGTTTCAGTGGAGCGTCCAGGCTAAGACAGATTAGGAAGAAATGCCTGGTGACCTGCTTCTGAAAAACAGCCAGTGAAAACTCTATGGATCACAATGGTTTGATCCTATTGTTCATGGAGTCACCATGAGTTTGGGGCCAACTTGACAGCAGCTAATGACATCATCATTATAGTTCCATAGCTATACAGGACATTTAGACATCTTCTTGACTTCTTGCAGGCTGAATGCTGACTGATTTTTGTGGTTTTCCATCCTTGTTTTGAAAAACACATGACTTCAGTGTGACTGCAAATTAAAAAGAAAACCAAACGTTCTGAGAGAGGATTGAAGGCTGGGGAGGAGAGGGACTGCTTCCTCCTCTAGATGCCTCCTCAGTCTCACTACTGCCACTGACTCAAAGGTTCCAGGCTGTTTACTTGTCATCTGAAGTCTGCATTTCGTCTATGCATAAGATATGTTCAGCACTGATACACCAAGCATAGAGGGGAAGGCAAGAATAACATAAAAAAGTAGAGTGGGAGGATGGATCTGAGCACTTGGGAAGAGGAATGTTCCTATAAAACAGGGACACTTGGCAGTAGGGCCAGTGAAAAATGATACCAATTACATAAAGCAAAATGCCACCCATCAAGCAGAACATTTTAATTCCCCCTATTCCAGGCTATTTATGAGTTTTTGTCCAATACTCAATACATGTCTGTAAAAATAAAAAATGGAATCGACCCCATCTGTTCGGTAGAAGGGGGCTCTGTGTTGGGGGTGGGTGGGTAAGAAAACATAACAGCATGTTGGAGAATTTCGGGAGTTCTACACAGAGGCACTTCAGATAAAGCTTCGCCCCTTCATTAGTTTTTCCTGTTTGGGCTAGTTGAATGAGAAAGAGAGGGTGTGACTAATTTTATCTGGACATTTACAGGTATCCATAAATTAACTTTATTTCTTTCAAGAAGTTCTATCTTGATGGATTACCCATAATATCCTGCTTAAAACAAACAAATACAAAACAAAATAGCATAATCAAAAGAAAAAAACCAAAACACTCTCTGTTTTCCAGGGCAACTTTTCCTTTCAGTTCTGTCGGAGATGGTCCAGGGCTCACAGCTGGTTTCCTGAAAGCGTGCCACAAGATGGCGACAACGTCACGGTGGAGAGTGGCCACTTGCTACTGCTTGACACCAACACAAGCGTCCTCAACTTACTGCATGTTAAAGGTCTGTAGAGTTTGCAGATCACTGGCGTTATGTATGTAATTCCATCACTCTTAGGGGCCAGGAGGGCAGTAAAGTTTTTGGATAAGTTCCAGAACTTGGTTGACAATTCATTTGCAGATCAAATTGAGATCTTACTATGAAAAGAAAGAAGTGGTCAGAGGGTTCAAAGTGAAAGCCCCCTTTTTTGACTCTTATAAGCACAAAGCTTGATTATTTTAATTTTTTAAAAACAAGAAGGTTAACAGCCTTCTCAAAGAATATGCTTCTTTATTCAACTACTTTGTAGTCATGCTTTTCCAGGGCAGCCCCCACAATATAGCAAAATGCCCTGAAATTGGTTAATGCTGTTGCCTTTGAAATTCCCTGCCAAGAAAGCAATGTCTTCCTGCTTGTACCCTGTTGTGGTTTTGACTTCTGGGTCCCATGGAAAGTCGTATAAATAGGCTTTCTTATTACAAAATCAGTCACATAGCTCTAGGGTCTAGGAAGTTGGAAAAGACTGAGAATTCAAATTTCAACTTTTCCACCATTTCACTAAATGACTAAGTCAGTTATTTCACCTCTTTGTGTATTTGCTCCCTTATCTGTTAAATGAGAATAAAAACTATTGTCTAGTTCAGTGATAATAAGAAATGATTATCAAAGTGACTGTCTTCATCTGCAAATAAAAATTGCTTAGGAAATGTGATTAGTTATGGCTCTCAATAAAACTCTGCACTTCTATTCTTTACTATAAATATATTTAGTAGTTACACATGCATTTGTTCTTGCTGAAGTAAAAGCATGCCTCCATGCAGGGAAAATAAAATATTTTCAAAGCATATCAACTCATGCAGTTTTGATGCCTGTCTCTTACAGACTGAATCAGTTTTCTTCTGAGTGAGCATTTTGTCATTCTATATTCTGGAAGCTCTGGTAGCATAATGGCTAAGACACTTGCCTGCTAACCAGACGGCTGGCGGTTCAAACCCACCAGCCACTCCTCGGAAGGAAGGTTGGGCAA